GTGAGATTGAGTGTCCATGGCTGGACAATTGATAAATAGCGTGTGACTAGTCACTAGGTGCACTCGGGCATGAGTTGTTAGTCTCTTCTGAGAGCCAGGCTTGTTACTCTTTCTGTTGTTCCAGTCCTGGTAAGGACGTTGTTTGTTGTGAGTCTTATCTCTGTCTAGGAATTTTGCGCGTCTGTGAGTGGACAGATTGTAAGTAGGTATTACGCCGTTAGAGTTCATCGATTGAGGTTCTGATTGAACGGGGATCGACTTACCTTCACGAAAGAATGTACAGTCTTTGGTTTTTAGTGGTGTTTGTTTTGGGAATGGTTTTGATTGGTGGGATGTGTGGCATGGGTTGCCAAATGAGGGTTATGTTTCTGATGGCTAGTGCTAGCGGTGATAGGTAGGGAATGTGTCGTGAATTGCAATTTGAGGATATATAATTAGGGGATATGACTCATGTATTTGGATGATTTTAGAAGTGATTGATTCTACTAGTGTCTTGAGGACAAATATTGGTATTGTTTGAATGTTTTGCAGCTAGAGCGTGATTGTGGGATTCCGTTGAAGAACTGTAGGAGTGATAGACCTTGATTTTGAGGTTTCAAATATAAGATGATTGTATTGAATGTTTTAAAGAGGTAAGAATCAAAACGAATGGTGACTTGGAGTCATTTACCTGGTGAGGATGTTACGAGGAGATTGAGATCTTTTATACTAATTGGTGATTGTGATGTTTGGTGTCGTTTTGTTTCTGGCTTGTTAAGGGTTGTGTAATTAAAGTGCGATTGGGATTTTAGAACTGTTATGTGACTGTATGGCGGACGAGGTTATATAGAGCAATGGATTGATTAGAGAATGGATCTCGTGATTGCTTTGAGGACTTTAATGGGATGTGTTTGAGGTTTAAACCTGAGGACAGGAATGACGTCTGTGTTGAGATTGGATCGATGATGAGAATGGCCTGGCCAACCATTTCTCCTGAATCAATCCTTCTTTAGCACAATGTTGGGTCAAAGGTCAATAATTGTTTCGAGTTGTCATAAATGGTGAGAGTACGGTATCGCAGGTTAAGTTGGTGTGATAGGGTGGATTCAAATGCTTGTCTCGGGAGATGAGGAGTGTTAGAGGGCACTTAGTGTCCGATAAAGGGTTTATGATACGATCATTGATTATTGAAAATCTTGCTTTGAGAATTTGGGGTCTTTAGTACCTGATAAATTGTTTATTTGTTTTGGTAACTCATGATTATGTAGTCGTGAGGGAATTCATTGTTTCATTATCTTGAGGTTTTTGAATGTAATGATTGTTGAATGGTGCGATTGGTGATCGCTTGTACTGTTAGGTGCTGATGTAGTTAAGTATTTGATAACAAGTATTTGATTTGTTAGGAATGTGTAGATTAGAGTTGAAATTGATTGAGAGATGACGGGATTCCTTATTTGTGGTTTTGCGTGTATGTTCTTTAGGGGATGAGTTGTGATTGGATGTCGTCTTAATTGGGGATTTGGTGACCTTTTTTTTTTTGGGTTAGGAGCCTTTCGTGGCAGTGTTGAGTGGATCGATGTCCATTATGAGTCAGACGTATGGTCTGGTTGGTTTTGTGTATGATGTGGTGAGAGTTGGTTAATCGCAGTGGTTTTTGTGGCAGTATTGGTGACACCCGATGCTAAAGGCAATAATGTTGTTGAATTCATGGTCTTGGGGTTATGTGAGGTGTTCTTCATGAATATGTGACGGTGGGCCTTCTTTTTAAGGAAGGTAGATTTTGAGGACGAAATCTCTATAAGGAGGGTAGATTGTGACGTTTCCGATTTTTAGCGTTATTCAATTTTCTGTAATTCGTGTCGCCGCAAGGGCATTTTCGTCCTTTCACGTTATGTGTACGGGATTTTAATAGTGTCCAATTTCATTTTTGTGCATTTTAATTTATGTGTGTAAATGGAGGATCAAAGAAAAAAAAGAGAAAATAAAAAGAAGTGGCGGGACCTACCACTAGTGTAAATAATGGTTAGAGACCATTTTTGGTCTTTCAATTCTCTCTCTCCTCGCTACCAGCTCTCTCACTCTCTCAAACTTCAATTTTCCTTCTTCTTTTGCTTCAAATCTTTGAAGCTTGATAGTTCCTTCATTACTTGCCGGATTTAGGTGCCGTTTGAGGCAAAACGAAGAGCACGACGAGCTCTACGTATACATGCAAGCAATTTCAGATTTGGTGCCCTCCTTGATTTTCGAATTCCTTGACCCATTTCAAGGGTTTTGCTCATTTTAAGATAGGGGCTTCCTAATTCACATCATTCATGCACCTTTGTGAGTTATTTTACTTGAATTGTGTTATAGCATGCTTATTGGTGTTAATTGTAGCCTAAAATGTCTTGATTGTATATATGTGAATATGTGAAAACTTGTCTTGATTGTGCTATATGAGAAGCATGCTTATATAATGAGTTTTATGCCTATTGTATTGTTCACATGCTATGAATGGTGTATGAAGCATGCCCTATTGTATTTTGTGATAATCCATTATTGTTTAAATATTAAAAGTATAAGAACATACTTACTTGTGTTGTGTCAAATTCCTCATTTTCATAGTATTGAGATCATGAGACATGCATGTGCACTATTGGGTTGCATGAAGGGAAGAAATTGTTTTTGAAATGAAAATAGGGAGTTTTGGGAAATAATATTGTGATGAAAGTGTTTTGGAAAACCCAGTCGCTGCGGAGTCACCAATGGGCCGGTAGGTTAATGTAATCTAGAGGGAACTAGGGAGATTGCCGTAGCGTGGTTGAGCTATATGGGCCCCATAATGACGTTGCAGAGTTACCAAAGGTCAGGGACAGTAGCCAATCCTTCTCTCAGCGTTGCGGAGTCACCAAAGGGGGTTACATTAACAGTTTCAAAGCGATAATTCTGATTGTGAAAAATGGGGAGTGACATCGGCATGCATTGCATCTCCATTGCATCTTATTATTTGTGTTGAGAAGGATAACCATGTTGCATTCTCCCCTATGTTATGTGACCCCAACTCCTATTAGCCTATTCTTTGTTTTGGATTCACGGGGTCTCATGAGGTGCGTCTTAGGCGTTACTTACTGAGTAAATTGCTCACTCCACTATATTATTATTATATTTTTCAGGTCATGGCAAGGAAGTGGCGGATGAAAATCCTCCGCAAGCAAAGTTGTTAGAAGATGAAATTTTTTTCTTTTTGCTATTTTGTATTTGGCCATTACATGTACGATTATAGTTTTGAGAAAATGTAATTAAGTTTTACTCACTCAAAATCAGTTTATGTATTTTAAGTAACGTGTGATAATTTATGTTATTGATGGTGGTGGTATTTTTATTTGATGTTAAAATGTGAATAAAATTTCACGTAAGTGTAGTGAAGTGGTGGTTGGATTACCAAAAGTTGGTGTATATGAGTTTCCACAGGTCGGTGGGAAGTGGAAGTGTGAATTACCCAGAACCGGTCGACGTATGGCTTCCCAAACGTCGACCGGTATCTTCACAATGGGGTCATTGAGACATACGTTCCAAACCAGTCGACGTATGGCTCCCATACGTCGACCGGTATCATGTCCCAAACCAGTCGACGTATGGCTACCCATACGTGGACCAGTATTTTGGCAGTGAGTTTTCCCACTGTTCATAACCCAAACCAGTCGACGTATGGTGTTGATACATCGACCGGTTTCTGTCTCTGAAGTAATATGTGTTTAGTTTCCCAAATTGCACTTTGGCACCCACGTGAGGTTACTCGTAATTATTTTATGACCCACTAAAATACCATAATTATATTTTAACCACCAAAAAGGACTATATTGTCTCGGACCTTATTTTGTTTATTACGTAATGCTAGTAAATGACTGTTTTACCCTTTGAGACTCAATTTATTCAATTATGGCAAATTACCATTTTTCCCTTTTGAACCTTATTATTTAAATTGAACGTGAAATGACCGGACTACCCTCAAATGTTTTTGAGTTGGGTAAGGACCCGTTTAATGATCCGAATCCATGAGGAGTTGGGTCGTTACAAATATATGCATTCATCAATTAAATCAAAATACCACTTAGGGTAAAATGAAGAGCTAATATAGACTTTGAACATACATTATATTACCATAAATATTCAAATCAATCACTAGAGATATTTAAAAGTTTAAAACAAATAGTCAACCATAAACTCATGAAATCTAAAACCTCCGTTAAAAACTACGTTCCATCTGATATGGGCATGATGTGATATAGAGCATGTTATTAAACTGCCTTTTAAAAGCAAACAAGATAGATATATATATATATATATATATACACACACATCAAGGAGCATACAAATTAATGGCTTCCACAAAGAAAATGGCTCACGTCCCCTAAAGAATTCGGACGAAAAATCATTATTTGCGTATTAAAGTTTTACAAAGGGCACCAATTTTTATTGTTTTCTCCTTCAATTTATACATGGAGACTCTAGTTAGTCAATCTTTTTTGTTTTAAAATCTTTTTCTCAACTGTTTTGTTCTCCATAAGCGCTCAATGTGCCTGACTTTCAGTATATAGAATAATCACAAATTAGGAATCAAATCAATTTAGCTTAATATCACCTGGAAACCCAAGGAAATTGCAAAAAAAAAAAAAAAAAAAAAAAAAAAAAAGGCTGTACGAAAAATCTATTAATTATTTCGACAAAAACACAAACTCTAATAAACCCATGACATTAAACAAATTATAGAGATTGATGATATAAATGATAAAGTAAAGGTTTGTCTATTTATATAAAAGTGAACAAACCTGTGAAATTTCATGACCATGACTCGATCTGTCTGTGAAATTCTCTCCAAACGTCGTCCTCCCATCTGTAATACTCCCTGTTGGTAAAGCATTTCAATATATGTGCTTGGCCGATACCGTATTTCTTTCAGCGATGAGCAACTCCACATGACCACTTTCTTCAACGCTCCCAAGTTCTCCAGGCCCTCAATTTCACGTAAATTGCTGCACCCACTAATATCCAAGTCTCAACATTTTAAAGTTTGACAGATTGGGTAATCCTACTATGGATCCGCAATACCCTACATTCAAATATTCCAATGATACCAACCTATCTAGACCTTGGATCTTGTTGAGATTCCAGCAACTAATAACTTCAAAGCTTTTTAACTTTTTTAAGTTGGACACTGTCACCGCTACAGATGCCGAACATTCAAGCAGATTAAGTTCAGTTACTTCATGGCACTCGGATATATTTAAGCTTGATAGCGATTCTAGATTTCCAAGTCCTTGAATCTGTGTTAGCTTCCAACACCCATTTATTGTCAAACTAGTCAATGATTGTAGTTTTCCAAACCCTTGAATCTCTCGCAGCGCACAGCATCTCTCAAACTTCAATTTCAACAAAAATTTCAAATTTGACAGATCCGGCAAGTTTTCTAATAACTCACAATACCCAATATGTAATTCAACCAGCTTGGGAGGTAAACCCAATATACATTGAAGATCTGTACATGCTCGTATAGTGAGGATCTTGAGCTGAGAAAGGGCGTCAAGCTCTTTGGGTAGGGTTCTAATGCGCCAAGAAAACCGCAGTTCCTGTAGATTAACTAGATTTGCAAGATTATTAGGGATAACACTAAAGTTTCTGTCCCTGAGCGAAGTGACGACATTCAGAATTTTTAAACTTGAGGGCGGGTCTGGCAGTTCTCGGAGAGCATCGCATTTTTCTAAGTTGAGGGTTTGGAGGCAAAGGAGGTCGCAAATGTTTGTTGGTAGGCTTTGAATTTTGGTTTCATTAAGACTCAATTCTCTCAAATATGATAATCTCCCAATACAGCTAGGAATTTTACCCTCCAAATTATGACAAAATGAGGCATCCAGAACTTCCAGTTTCTCTAACTCCCATATTCCATCTGGCAAGCTCCTTATCACTGTATATTTAAGATTGAGCACTTTCAGATTCTTCATAGTACCAATGGATGGATCAATTTCGTCCAATCTTTCACAGTTTTCAAGATTCAATACCTCTAAAGTTGTATAGGTTGAAAAGTTGGGAGTCCTTCTCATCAACCCACAATTTGAGAGATTTAAAACTTTCAATTTTTTTGACATCTGATAAAAAAAAATAATAATAAAAATAAATAAATAAATAAATTTCAATTTCTATCAAATATAATAAAATGGAAAACGATAAGAGTAGAAATATTTCACAAACCATGATTTGACTCCAATTATTCCAGTCATTTGGTGTGCCGGAACTATATGATAATTCAAGAATGACTAAATTCTTCATATGAAAATTGGTTGCTTCAAAACGGTAAGGGCAATCTTTCCAACAAAGCCATCTTAACCCTGACAGACAATGCTCAAAATCCCCAACAAATGCTGCGCCCTCTACACGGAGATACCTAAGATTAGATAGTTTCTCGAATGTTTTCCGTGTGAAGCAAGAAGACGACTTTTTTCTAATATAAGGAAGATTTAGCACTTCAACTTTTTCAGTTCCCTGTCAATGAAAAACCATACAAATAAATAAACATTAATGGTTTACAAAACAATTTGGATTTATTACCTAAAGAAAAAATAAAAATGAGGTAATGTTTATCGTTTTGAGCTCAAATTATCTTTATGTTAGATTAAGGTGGCCGGGTTGGATTAAACGCTTGTAGGGTTGATCAGCTTTGGTATATTTCCTCTCTTGAAATATATATATATATAAAATTATAAACCAACTATACTTGAAATAATTAAAAGATGATGAATAACATTCTAATTTTTAACATTATATGAACATGAACGAGGATCAAGAATTATGTAATATATAAACATTCTACTTCATTTGTGTAGACCCCTCAAAGTAAATTGATCAACAAAGTAGCTCTCCATTCGGAACCAAGTGGACGCTGTCAAGAAAACCACGTATATTTGTGGATGTGTTATCATTGTGTACTTACCCGGTGTTATGACATGACATGAAAGAGGATCAAGAAATAAACATTAATTGATTAAGTAAACAAGTTAACACTCATGTGTTACCTTATTTTCCTCAAATACATCTTTTGCTTCTGCTTGATTCCACAACCTGCTACGTCCTCCTGGATTTATGTTATCTTCTTGATAGACCATTTCTCTACCAAAATCTCTAAGCTGATCATGCATCCTAAACAAATTATCATTCTCTATTTTTACCAGAGACAAGAGACAGAGAACATCAATTTCCCTCTTTGGGAATTAGCCACAATCATCCCACATGTAAAATGGATATGTTTTATCCATTCCAATAAACAGACATGCAATATCAAGAAATATTTTTTGTTGCTCAGGGTTCAACCCATCATAACTTATTCTCAATGCTTTTTGGACTTTATCGTCTGGCATTTTCTTCAACTTCTCCAATGTATCTTCCCATATTTGTATGTCGTTCTTGCCAAACAAAAATGAACCTATAACCTCCAGAGCTAGAGGAAGCCCTCCTGTAGTCAATGCAATATCATTAGAGATCTTCTCATAGCCTATTCGAGGAAGCTTCATTCTGAAAGCATGAATGCTAAAAAGTTCAACAGATTGCACAAGGTTCATATATGGGGGTTCATAAGACGTTCCATCTGCTTCCAGATCAATTAGGACTTTCTTGTCTCTAGTTGTAACTATGATCCTAGTTCCTGGACCGAACCAATCAAGGTTTCCCACAAGCCAATCAAATTGAGACCTTTCATTCAAATCATCAAGCACAATGAGAACTTTCGTTCTAAGAAATCGGTTTTGAATAGCATTGATTCCACTATTAGCATTAGCAATGTCTGGGTACCATTTAAGAGTGTCTGCAAGAAGCTGCTTTTGCAAAGTAACAATTCCTCTGTGTGGTTTAGCCGTTTCTAAAATATCTGCAAGGAAGCTACCACATTCAAATTCCTTGAGTAGCTTGTTGTAGATGGATTTCGCGATTGTTGTCTTTCCAATACCACCCATGCCATGGATACCAACAATCCGTTTTTCACTTGAACTAACCTCTAATAATCTCATTATATTATTTATATGGTCATCGATTCCAACCAAGTTGTTAGATAGAACCATGTCGTTCCTCTTTAACTCCATCAACACTCTTTGAACAATCATCTTTATTAGTTGACCCTCATGCCTGATTGAAGTCCAGGTGAAAAGCCACAAAAATAATTAGTGCCGAGACAAAAATTAAAGTAATCAAAAAGCTAAAATATTGATGTCTTCTACTTTAGTTATTCTCATTTTATTTCGTACTCATACCCATTGAATTTTTAACTTTTGAACTAATTAAAATTGAAAAATATTTTACTTCACGAATTTTAATTTGTGATTTTATCTTGAATTAAGTGATACTTATTTAGCTTATTTGACTGCTTTGTGTGTTTTAAAATCAAATTTTTTAACATAAAAAGTTATTAAATTTGTGTGCTTTAAAGAAAAAAAACAACAACAACAATAACAAAACTTACAATTATAGAATCCAAAATCCTCATATAACTTAATAACTTGAAATATTGATGTCTTCTACTATAGTTATTCTCATTTTATTTCGAATAAAGTGTAAAAAATTTCCTTGAACTATTGTCCTTTTACAAATAATCTCTTTGAACTAAAAACTATCCCACTAAACTATTGATTTGTTACAATTAAGGTCAAACGTATCGCAAAAGACTATTTTACCCTTTCTCGTTAAATTTGTTATTTCTTATTAAATTACTTTAATTTTGTCTTTTCTCTTATCTAAATATTAATTATACTATTTACCTTAATTTATTATTAGTATCAATTTATCATTAAAAAAATTGTAATTACAATTTCCTACAATGATTAACATATTATTAAAATTTTATTATTCATAATAAAGCTTATTATACCCAATTTAAACTTTTTTTACAGTAGAAAAATACTCCCTACCTTCTTTTTCTTACAATATATTGATGAAAAATTAATAAATTACTTAAATAAAAAATACATTCTTTTTCATGTAATATATTCATGAAAAATCAAGAAATTAATTAAATTATTTTAAAATTTTCTACTTAAGATTTTTATGAAATAATTAATTTCAATAATTAAAAGTAATTTTATGCTAATTTAATGGAGAATATGTCATTAACTTAGTATGAAATTTTTTTCATAATTTATTTTAATAAAAAAATAAATTAAGTGTAATTAAATAAGAAATAGTATTATGATTATTTAATAAAATATAATCAAAGTTTTGAAGCATTTGTTAAAGAGTATTATGTGCAAAATATAATTTAGGAGGAATTATTTATAAATTCAAACAAAGATCAGGTATTTTAATTTACACTTTACCCTTTTATTTCATACTCATACCTATTGAATTTTAAAATTTTGGACTAATTAATACTATGTATTTGATTTGAAGTACTTTACTTTAGGCACCGAGTAGTTGACTCATGAATCTAATCATCATTTTGTACTTCTTAGTAAATATATATAATATATATATCATCAAGTTGTACTTTTTGTATTAAAAGATAAATAGCAGACTTGTATTATGGGTCAAAAGAGAAGCCGGATATACATGGTCTTATCTCTTAAATAGGTTTTTTTTTTTTTTTTTAAATTTTCTTAGAACAAATAAGTCTTATTTTTTAAAAAATAATAAAATAAATTCCATACAAGGTCTAAATTACTAAATCTTCCACTTATACGTTTGTTAAATTTGATATGAAATTTAAAAATCACGCTTTCATTCAATTTACTAGATATAAAAAAATTTAAAAATAAAAGATTTATTTTATTGACTTTTTATAAAATACTTCATTTTTCTGCACTAAAGTCTTTGTGAATTCTAAGCAAATTTTTTGGATTGAATTTAAATTAAATTAATTGTTATTTAAACTCATAATTTAAGGTTCCCTAATTAATTAAAATGAATATATAAAAATTTTATATTATAGATTAATTTTTTAATAAAGTTATAATTATAAAATTTTACTTTTAGCAAGGGTGTTAATGAAAGATTTTAGTGATTTAGAACTTAAAAGTGAATTTTATTTTCAAACATAGGATTTATTGGTCCTAAAAGAAATTTACAAGATATATTTATATTTTAATTAATTAGAAAAATCAGATTTGATGGTAATATTTTACGATAATGCTTAACTACTTATTGGTGAATAGCTTTACCCTGCCCAACCCCTATGTTAAATTTAATATTAACAAAATAACACATAGCTTTAATAACAAAATAACCCATGCCTCCTCTGTTTTCTCAGATCAACTCACCCCTTGTGTATTCCAATAACAAAATAACACATTAATTTTAATAACAAAATAACCCAGACCTTCTTCTGTTTTCTTAGATCAACCATTGAATAAAGGCTTTTTTTTATTATTTTGCTGATTTTGTTATTAGAGCTGATATGTTATTTTGTTATTGGAATACATAACGGGTGAATAGAGTGAAGTGAGTAGCTAAGTATTATCCAATATTTTATTCAACTATGTGTAGGGAAAAATTAAATTAAGCAAATAAAAGAATACTTATTTATATATTTATTATTATCCTTTCCTATGTTCTCTCTGACAAACAAGGGAAGGATATATTTGAATATGGTCACACCGATTTGAAGAGTTGTGTGCGCTAAGTCTCTGATAATGCCTGCTTGTGTGTTCATGATTTATTGGATTCCGAACACTATGATGATAAAACTATGATGAAGTGTCCATGCATTAACATAAGGGGTTTATTAATTAGTAGGAAAACAATACCCGTCGGCTATTTTCTTGACTTCCCAACCTTGGAGTGCTCCAACCTTTGTCATTGCCTCCCTCCATTCTGTAACAGTTTTTCCATCGGAATGGCTCTCGTGCTCACGGAAGGCCTCCTCGTAAGTTCTCCCAGCATCACTATCCCCAGATTGATGCCGAACCGCAGATGGTTCGACGTCATAGAAGATGGGCAGAATCAATTGTCCCTTGGACTTCACCATCTCAGCAAGCTCACGGAGGCACCATTTGCTGGAAGCATAACCCTTGGTGAATATTGGGATGGAGATTCTGGACTTTGTGATTGCTTTGAGGAGTGCAGGGGCGAACTCTACTCCTTCGGGAATATCGTTATTGTCACGAAAGGTGCGTACTCCTGCGCTGACAAGATTTGTGTATAGGTGATCGTTGAAGGTGTGGCGAATGTTGGGGCCTCTGAAACTCAAGAAGACATCGTATTCACCTACTGAAGCTTTGTGGTCCATATTTATCACCTAAAGCAACTCAAGGAGAGAGATAGAGTTTGTTCAAAGAACTAGTCAAGAAAGAAAAGTTAGTAAAAGCCAACTAGAGAGAAAAAAGAGATCCTGCAAGTCTACAACATCTTAAGATTCATATATTACAAGATTATTCAAGTCTTTTCAATAAATAAAAACGTGAAAAATAAGAAAAATGTTATCAAAATGGACCTACTAATTATTCAAACTGCATTTGAGATACAGGTGTACTCTGTCCTTTCCGCTGGATCAACTGGTAACAATAGTGGGTAGCTAAAGGGTCTGTTTGATTCGCGCTTCTTACAAGAGATGTGGATGAAGATTAGACAGCATTACAGCAGTATCAATGATCGAGTTTGTGCATTGGATCTGCTAATTTATGGAAAGTGATAATCATATTTTGAGTTTTGTTTATTAACAAGTGGGTCAAGCTTTGATTGGGAATTGGAAAGTGATTTCCAGCAACCTTAGGATGAGAATTGACCCAGCATATCACCTGCTCTATATTACTCCTTTGTGTATCAAATTTATGGGTGTTTAGAATTTAACTTTGAATTGCTACTTTTAAAACAGACTTTGTGTAGAGGCCGTATATTTTAGGTAAATTTTTTATTTTTAAAAAGACAATTTTTACCATTTTTTTTTATAAAATTGCTATTATCAAATATAATAATATTATATATTAAAGAATATTAATATAATTATTTATTTATTTTTTATTTTATTATTATTATTTTTTTTTAGAATAGTGAGAGTATTATGATATGTCACTAATTACCTAACATGTTTTTTACTAACAATAATTTTTGACAAATTTTTATTTTTATTTTTAAATTCTAATAAAAAGGCCAAAACTATCCTTTTTTATTTTTTATTGTAGCGAATTTTTAATATTTTTTTATTGTATTGATAAGAGTGAACTTTTTAATTTATCTATATTACTGTAAAAGATAAGAGAGTATTTCGTAATTACTGCAATTATTTAATTAATCAATATCAAAAGAATAATGTGAGAATATTTATTTTTGGAATTGGAGAAGAATTTTGTGAGAAAGGGATAATATAATCAAAATCAATGTATTAGCCGGCCGAATAATTGTTTTAAACAAACTCATAAATGAATACATAAGAGGACCCCTCATGATGTAAATTACATTGACATCTTTCGGATTAAGTCAAATCCTACTTATATGAACATTTTGGTTTTAACTTTTCATTACACCTTAATTAACTTTTTAGACTGACACATGTAAATTGACTCATTTACTCCTAATTTTTTAATATAATATAATTTAAAATATTTATAAATTTAAATGACAAAAATATCCAAATATAAATCACACTATCTCTCTCTCCCTCTTTCTCTATGTATTTTACACAAATCCAAAGAGCCAGACTCAATGGAATTCAGAAGATTAAAGGAATATTTTGGTTTTAACTTTTCATTACTCCTTAATTAACTTTTTGGACTGACACATGTAAATTGACTCATTTATCCTTAATTTTTTAATATAATATAATTTAAAATATTTATAAATTTAAATGACAAAATTACCCAAATATAAATCACACTATCTCTCTCTCCCTCTTTCTTTATGTATTTTACGCAAATCCAAAAAGCCAGACTCAATGGAATTCAGAAGATTAATGGAATTCTTAGTTTCACCGGTTTGGTATTCTAGAAAGAGGAACTTTGAATTCCCAGATTCTCCTGCTGATTATTTTTTTCTTTCTAAAATTTATATATATATTTTTTTGGGAAATTAAGCAAAAGATATATAATATATGTGTGTGTATGTGTGTGTGATTTTTAGAGAACTACTTTTATTTTTTTGGTACTTACCTTTTATTGTTATAATTAGTGGTATTAATAAATATTAAATTTAAAAATTAAAAATAGTGATAGTGATTTTGTAATAAAAGGAAAGCATATAGATGAGTTTGGAATGTGACCATTAGAAGAATTTTTTTGTTCCACAAAGAGCAAGAGATCACTACTCTCTCTCTCTCTATATATATATATATATTGTGTGAAAGCTTCTTATCACAGTTTTCACTATTATTAGTCCAAATATAATTGAAACTTAATATGGGGCTGGATTAATAAATAATAAAAGAAACTTGGATGTTAATGGGGATGATGATATTCAATTTCTTAACACTTCATATCAATGTGTATTAACAGTCAAATTACTGAACAAATTTATGTAAATTCTCCAAATATATAGCAGGTTTATTTGGGAACGGTTGATTCCGTGGTGCAATCTACCTTTGTTTCCATATAATGCTTCTGGTGTACTTTCAATCCACTTCACCCCTCTACCCTTCAGCTCATTTTTATGTTTCCCCCGGCAGTCATCAAACAAACTTTATAAAAATTAAAAAGTATTTTCTAAAATTGAAATTACAAAAAAGTCTATGAAACACAAAACAATTTTAATACCATACAATTTTTTCTACTAACAATGGATACTTCATCTTCTCAATAATTCTCTCTCCCTCAACATCCCTCCCATCGCTACTCTTTCAATCCAACTATGATTTTTTTTTTTTTTTGGATCTTCCCTTTCATTCGGCCTGTTCTAATTCCTTCTTAAGCAACTTTAAATTGAATTAATTATCAGAAAGAAAAAAAAAAAAAAATTGAACCACACGTGTTTAATTAAATTTTTGAAATACCATGTAAAGTGACCCTTCTCATGAGTTGGGTGTAGACGTGATCTCAATAAACTATTTACACTCAAGAAAAGTCAAATCTTATACATGATGTTATATAAAATAATAGTTTATGTGAAATCATGGATGAATAATAAATTTAATCACTTCAATATTAAATGTTGACTAGTTGTCCATGAAATTGAAATTGAAATTGAGCTGTGACATGAGGTTTGTTTATTCGCAAGTGGCCACGCTTTGATGGGTAATAGGAAAGTGATTTGCAGCTTCATTATGGGATGCGCGTTGACCCAGCACCACCTACTACACTAAGAGAAAGTATAAATATTAAATCAATGTATTAGTTAGTAAATACTAATTGTTCTAAACAACTTCATAAATGAATAGACTTGAGATAAGATGTGACATGCTGCCCGAATTATAAAAAGATTATGTTTAAAGTGCTCCCACCGTATTAATTATAGATTTGATTCTCCTCCCCAACAAATTACTAACCATGGCCAAGCTAAAAAAAAAAAATCTTGAATATTAACAAGGAAGATGATATTTAATTTTTAATCGCTTTATATTAAGGTATTTGAAAAACTCTGACCTTTATAGTTGAATTATTGAATTTCTTTGCAAATTTTTATAAATTCTCCAAATAACACTCATTTAATACCTTCAATTCACTTTACTTATTTACCCTTTAGTTCATTTATATTTGGTCCCCCCAACAATCATCAGAAAAACTAAACAAAAAAAGTGGAATGTAAAATTAAGCGGATTGTATTGAAGCCACTATTTGAAAAAATAAATCATAAAATAATTTTTTATTTCTTAAATAATTGAATAGCTGAATACTTATGTTTGGTTGGTGCAATAGTTCTTCTTATCACATTCACTAACTCTATTATTGTCAAAGCTCTCAATGTCACGTAATTTTTTGATTCCAATTTGTCTAACTACCCTTTTTGACTTCTTCAAATTTGACAGGTGTGTTTTTGTCAAACCTATTTGGAGTCACTCACCTCCTAAAGATGCCAACTGTTGAAGCAAATAAGGTTAGCAGATATATCCAAACTTCTCAGTGTTTCTAATTTTCCAAGTTCCAATAAATCTATCAGCTTAGTGCAATTCTCAAGGGATAATATCAACAAAAATTTCAGATTTGACAATCTTTCCTATGGCTTACAATAATATAGAGATAAATCAACTAGCAATATTTGCTATCATATAATTTTTTGCAATAAAAGATTTTTTATTGCAAGTTTGTGTGTAATTGTTGCATTGCTGAAAGTAGAGAGTCATAAACCTAAAATTTTGTTGCAATTGGTAGGCATACGTGAAAAAAATTATTTTGTACTATCCCCGTCCCATAATAGTTGTCAATTTAAAATTTTTTGACTCACTACCACCTTTTATTTTTAAATTATTTGATGTTATTTTTAGTTATATTCCTTTAATATACTTATATACTACCTATATCTCATACTAGCGATCTATTTCAATAACTTTAACTCACAAAAATTATGAGTCAATTTTTGGAATTGACAAATAATATGGGACGAAGAGAGTAATAAATAAATTTTTTTTTTTTTTTTTTTCAACATACATAATTTCATAGCCAATAGTCTCCATTTCTCTATAATGGTCTTTGTAGCTAAACCTATTATTTATTGGTACAAACATTTTTTTTTCTTTTTATGTGGTAAAAACTAAAGTAAACCTCCAATATTCATCTCAATAATAATAGTGTCATAACTAGAGGCGGAGTCAAGAAATTATATTCGTAGAGGCCAAAAATGATAAACAGCAGAGAGAGAAATACAAGCACCATGCTTCCTTGCATTACTAATTTACAATGGGTTTTTTAGTTTGTATATTAGTAGTACATAATGCGTATATATATATATATATATATATATATTACTAATATATAATGGGTGGTTATTGTTTACTAATAGTATATGTTTTTGGTTTGTAAACTTTGAATATTAAAACTACGTAATGGGCCTTTACTGAACTCACAAACTAGGCCTACTTAGAATTTTTTTTATCAATGTTTACGTTAAAAAAAAAAAAAATTAGTAAAGGCCCATTATGTATTAGTAGTAGAATTATTTAAAATTTTGTGAGGCCATGGCGCCCTTGGTCCGAGAAAAATTTGATTGAGGCGGGGGGTACGGTGCACTTTACTTACTGTAGCGGAGAGATTGTCCGATTGAGCCGGGTATTTGGTGCGCTTTAGCAGTGGTGGGACCCATGAATGAGGTAGGTTAGAGGCCACACAGTCACGCTGCTTGAAAATAAAGACTAGCATGTCTATTATGCTAAAGTTCCGCAGTATTGAAAGATTAATTACTAGAAGTTGAACAGTTAGGTAACGAACGAGAAGTGGATTAAATTCAAGAAAGCTATTAACATATTACGGGATTCTGCTATTACAATTTGGAAATGCTCTAAAAGTAGTTCAAACTAAAGGTATATAAAATTTCTTTTGTGAATCCTTTCGACTTGAAATATGGGTATTCCATAGCAAATCTTGATTTAAAATTTAATTAAGATGTGAAATAATAAAAAAGTTATTCTTAATATATGAAAATTTTAAATGAAACTTTTAGCAGATATAATAGTAAATAATGAAAAATAACAAATATTATAAGCAAAAATGATTAGATAATAAGTATGTGATATGTATAGTGCAGCAAGCCCTGGCACACTGTGCATATGTAAAATGAATTAAAGGCCATTGTCAAGTGTTGATATTTCATAGTTATGTATATAGTGCCCTAAATTCGCTCTCTTAAATCAATATGATAACCTTTCAAACATTGATAAAAAAAGATATGCACATGTAACAGGAGAGCAAAAAAATGCAGTGAATCTACAAATTCAAAAAATTAAGTCATTGCCCAAATGTTTTCAGGCCGGGTGCAGCAACAGGTGGACGCTTGTCGATTTATCAAGTTTAAACTATTGAATAGTGTTGCATATCCACCCATTTATACTTATTTCACTTTTCATCCGAATTCGATGTGAGACAAGTGTCCCCTTATAACAATTAGCAATTAGAGGATAATCAAACCATATATTAGGAGATTGATGTGTTATCCCCGTGATGGTGTTTTATCAAAGCATATGACTATTTATTAGTTCAAATTGGTTAAACCAAATAATTATATATACTAATTATATCTTAGAATCAGTAAAATGCAGAAGATCTTAAAGTACTGTCTTAATTTGCCCCTTTAATTTGATATTGCATTACAATCTCATTCATTTCTTGAAGCATCTTGGGTTATGATTTCTCGAAGAGTAATTCTAGGCATCATAAAATTTTCATTTTCTGAGAATACACATCACAAAGATTTATTGTGACACCTTATATGCCCAAATAAATTTGATATCTTTATTGTGACCCATTATATAACAAATACTGTCCCCCAAGTTCTGTTTAATTTCATTGAATGGTGTCCCTTCATCAATGGATTTGTATTAGCCATTTAATGTTATAGTTGAAATTCTAGTGCATGCATAAATCAAGTACTCAAAACACTTATAAAGAAAAAATTGGTGGGATATTTTCTTTCATTTGAGATGGTTGATCTTGAACCATTTACAAATCTATTTACTCTTCCTTTCAGCGATTGAAAGCTGTGAACTCTGATATATGAAACTCAGTTTTGATTTTCTACAACCCGTGCGAGAAAGAATTCCTTTAGATATATTACCCACTTATCAGATGAAGCTTGATACAGTTGTAAACTTGTAATTATGTAAGAAATTGAACAAAGACGAGAAGGTGAGCGATATGCAATTTTAAGCAGCGTGTGTCAAAGTAATCAATTTTCAACAATTAAGTTTGTGAAGTTGAAGGTAAGGCACTGATTACATAATATTATCGGTGCAGATAAGTCTTTCTAGAAGGACGGTGTTTCCGATTTGTTTCTGCCTTCTAACTGAACATGAAAAATCAAGAAAATAAGAAGTTGGCGCAAATAAATTGGGAAGGCTGTTTGATAAATGTACTCCACCCACTTTTGACGTAAAATGATGTTAGTGTTCCTTATTTAAAATAACATGTTCAAGTATTAGGTGTATTTTTGTCATTTTTAAAATAAAAAAAAAAAAGTGTGCGTTTACAAGAGTAAGAGTATCACTTCCCATAAATTTGAGGGAGGGGGAGCAGGGAAGTATTCAATACCAAATTAATCTAATAATTTACAATTTAAAGGACAAGTAAGCCATTAATTTCAACTCTTTTGTAGAAAATGTTGCTTGTCCTCATACCTTTGTCTTTTTTATTTTTCTTTGTCTTAGTTATGCGACAGTAGCGATCAATGTGCCTCGACCACCTAATAATTTCTCAATTTTGTGTTCAAGCAGCTCTTTTTTGGCATTCCAAACCGGTTGCCCTCATCCATACCTCTAGATGAGCTTGGCAGGAAAAATGGAGTAATGCTTCATATGGGTTTCATTTCGTGATCCATAAGCAAGGGGGTTTATGTTGGGATGTGGCAGGAGTTCTAATATATCATTCTAGAACACCAATCTCGACACCCATTTAACCCTTTGTTGAGGATGATTGTGAAACACAAACAATACTTTCTAGACCGCGAAATTAAATTTGAACCAGATCAAAACCAAACGAAGTTTAACACATTCGAAAATATTTCTTCTTCTCAAAATGACTAATTCATAACTTGAAAGAGGACACTTATCACAAAAATACATGCAGTCTCTTATGTTAAGCGATTGGGTTTGAAGGGATGAGAGAGCTCCTAGAAGAGCTTAAAAATCTCAAAGATGAACGTCCCCTGCTGCAAAGAGAATTCAGAATATCCCTCTTCAAATAATAACAATCTGTAGCATCAATCACTTCCAGATTCTCCAGCCCCCATATTTCATCAGGTAAGTTCCTTATATGAGTCCCTGAAATGTTCAGTACTTTCAAATTCCTCAGATCACCAATAGAACGGTCAATTTCGATCAAACTTACACAGCCTCGAAGAATCAATCTCTCCAAAGATTTATATGTTGACAAGTCGGGAGTTCTCCTCAATGCACAACTTGCGAGTACTAAAACCTTCAACTTATTTGCCATCTGTCGAAAAGAAAAGCAAGACAACCACAGGAAGATCAATTTACAGCGAGTATATAATAAGAGATAGAAACTAGGAGTAGAGATATCCTACGAGACCTTCATCTGTCTCCAACCCATCCAGTCTTCTGTTATGTCACTCTGTGATAGATCAAGAACGACGAGATTCTCTAAATGAAAATTAGTTGGTTCGAAATGCGGAGGGCAACCACGCCAATTAAGCCATCTTAACCTTGAAAAATGATTTTTAAAATCCCCAACAAGTTTTACGCCATCCAGTCGGAGATACCTTAGTTTTTCTAGCCCCACAAATTCCTCATTTGTAAAGCAAGGTTGAGACCCTGATTCAAAGTCAAGATTCAAAGCTTCAACCACTTCCCTACCCTGCATATGGAAAACCTTAAAAATAAGTAAACAATGTATTAAGGCCAGAATATGGCGTACTAACAAAAATACGGCTATTAGAGGCTGCTTTCATCTTTTCTAGTTAAAATATTAATTATGTTTTCGACTTCATTTTGCTGAGTTCTATAACATAATAAAAAAAAAATATTTATTAATAAATATAGACAACCATGACAGCATCATAGAAAACAATAGCTTGAAGATAAAAAAGATATTTTTTAGCTCTGAGGGGAGAAGGTGGCCCTTATAGTTCCATCTACATGACCATTTTCGTTGAAGTTGTTGAACATCACCAGCCAAAAACAAACAAAGCAGATTGACACCAAATATATTTTGCATAAATACACTTAGCACGAAAGAAGACTCCTATGAAATGAACTATGGCATGAAACAAACTGATTAGGGAAGATAGATAGAATACAAAAATTAAAATTTTCGTAGAAAAAAGGGGGCAAATCTTACCCTCCGTTGCTTCAATATTTGCAAGGCCTCCTCGTGATCCCATACTCTACTACGCTTTTCCGGATTATCAAAATTTTCTTGACGGACAATATCTCTACCGAGATCTCTTAATTGATCATGCATCCATAACACATTATCATCTTCCATTTTTACAAGAGACATGAGACAAAGGACGTTAATTTCTATCTCTGGATGGTAGCCACAAGCATCCCACATGTAAAATAGATATGTTTTATCCATCCCGACAAAAAGGCATGCAATATCAAGAAATATTTGTTTTTGCTCATGGCCTAATGCTTGATAACTTATCATCAAGGTGTTCAAGACTTCCTTGGGTGGTACTTTCTTCAACTTCTCCAATGTATCTTTCCAAGATGTTTCCGTCTTGCCAAATAGAGATAGAAATGAACCTATAACTTCAAGAGTGAGAGGAAGACCTGCAGCAGTGGATACAATTTGTCTAGAGATACTAATGTATTCTTCGGGTGGAAACGTTCTCCTAAAGGCATGCATGCTGAAAAGTTGAAGAGATTGCTCGGAGTCCATGAATGGGGGTTCATAAGTATCTTTAATTTCAAGAGCTTCTAAAACATGTTTGTATCTAGCAGTAACTATGATTGTACTTCCTGGACCAAACCAACTCCGCTTTCCAACAAGACCATCAAATTGGGACCTTTGAGTAACATCATCAAGAACAAGGAGAACTTTCTTTCTGATAAATCTGTCTCTAATAATGTTGATTCCGCTATCAACGTTAGAAATATAAGGATGCCAATTTAAAGTTTCAGCAAGAAGCTGTTTCTGCAAACTAACAAGTCCATCGCGTTGTTCCGATTCACGAACATTTTGAAGAAAGCTACGACATGTAAATTTCTGCAAGAGTTTGTTGTAGATGAACTTGGCAATAGTTGTCTTGCCAATACCACCCAGACCACAGATACCAACAATTCTTACATCATTGGAGCCAACATTTAATAATTTCATCATTTCATTTTCATGATGATCGATTCCAATCAACTTGTCAGTTAAAAACATGTAATTCTTCTTCAACTCTAACAACACTGTTTGAACAATGATCTTTATAAGTTCTCCCTCATACCTGATTGATGTTAAGGTGGAATATAGAACAAATAGTTAGTTACTTGAATGAAATTAAAGTGAACAATAGAGATCCATTTTTTTATTATGAAGAAAACAGTGCTAATAATAGAAAATAATAGAAATTGAGGTTAATGAAAGTAAGCATAAACGAGAAGAAGGGACATTTTTGGTTATTTATTCTAATTTTAGTGACTAGCTCTAACTCACAAAACCAATAATCTTAAAAGTTCTTCTTTCAATTTTATTTCTGCTCCCCTAATTTAACTTTAATTTGAAACCCACCCAATGATTAAAGCTTTAAATAGATTATTTCATCCATTGCCTCAACATACACAAAAAAATATCTAGGGTTTATTAGGAGAAAGAAATTACCTATCAGCTTGTTTCTTGACTTCCCAACCCTCTCGTGCTCCAACCTCTGTCAATGCCTCCTTCCACTCTTCAACTTTGCTTTCGCCAAAGTTGTTCGTGTGTTGGACGAAGGCCTCCTCGTAAGTGCTCCCAGCTGGTTGATGCTTGACTTCATCGGGTGTGACTTTGTAGAAGATGGGTAAAATCAATTGCCCAGTATCTCTATTGCACTCCACCATCTTGGCGAGCTCCATAAGGCACCATTTACTGGAAGCATACTCTTGGGAGAATATTGGAATTGAGATCCTGGATTCTGTGATTGCTGTGAGGAGCGCAGGGCCGAACTTTTCTCCTTTGCGGATCTCGGTATCGTCTCGAAAGGTGCGAACTCCAACACTATCGAGATTGGTGTATAGATAATCTGTGAAGATGTAGCGAGTGTCGGGGCCTCTGAAACTCAAAAACACTTCGTATTCGCCTCCTGGAAGGGACCTGGATGAAGAAGAGTCCAAAACAGAGCTTGAACTTGCATCAAACTCCATTGTAGGATAGAATGGAAGCCGATCGATCAGGTCTCTCTTTCTCCCTTTGGGGTTTTGGCAATGGATTTGCGAAGCTCCTCAGATCTCCCAACCAACAGTAGAAAGCCAAGTTCAATTCTTTGAGTCAGCTCAACTCAACCAATAAAACAAAATGAGACTAACTTTTTCCAGCAATGAACTTTTTACTCACTCCTCTGAGACGAAAATAATAATAATAATAAAATAAAATAAAATAAATAGAGTCCTTTTTTATCCCACTGTGACGAATCTGGGTCGTTAATTTTAACTTGAGAATCCAACGGCCCCAACATTTGCATGGTCATAGAAAAATAAAAAATAGAAAAAAAAAATGATAAAAAAAAATTGTGTACCCTTTGGACAGTATGAATGGACAGTAATGCCCTTTAGTTTAAAAAATTCCCTTCATAATTTCAACATATTTTGAATGACATTTTCTATTGTCGATATTGATGATATTTTAATATTTTCAAAATCAATAGAACAACATTATAAGCATTTGAAAATTTTCAAAGATGTTATTTACAGAAGTGGTTTAGTAGTTTCTACTCCTAAACTAAAAATTTTGCTTACCCAAGTAAGATTTCTTGGTCATGAAATTTGTGATGGAACAATCAAATCCATTGACAGAAGTATTGAGTTTGCCTCTAAATTCCTTGATGAAATTAAAGACAAAACTCAACTGCAAAGATTTCTTGGTAGTTTGAATTATATTCGTAACCATTACAAGAATCTTGTACAGGATACAACAATTTTATACACACGGCTCAGAAAGTCACCTTCCCCTTAGACTGAAGAACATACAAGAGCCGTCCAAAAGATTAAACTTCGTGCTAAACAGATTCCTTGCTTAGGCCTAGCAAATTCTTCATGATTTAAAATTGTTGAGACAGATGCCTCCAATATTGGCTATGGTGGTATTCTTAAACAAAAGAATCCAAAAACAGGAATAGAGGAGCTTCTTCGCTTCACTTCAGGAGTTTGGAAAAATACACAATTAAATTATTCTACTATTAAGAAGGAAATTCTTTCTTTAGTAAATTGCATTTATAAATTCCAAGATGATTTAATTAATCAGAAATTCTTGTTACTCATTGATTGTAGTGCTGCTAAACAAGTACAAGAAAAAGATGTTAAAAATTTAGTTTCCAAACAGATATTTGCTGGATGGCAAGCTGATTTATCTGCTTTTGATTTTTCAATTGAATATATTAAAGGCAGTTCTAATTCTTTACTTGATTTCTTAACCCGTGAATTTTTACAGGGTTCATGAATCAGCCCCATAATGGGCAGGGCCGTGGTAATACCACAAAAGGCCGTGGCAAAGGCAGGGCAAAAGTCAAAGTGGTTATACCACTCATTGATGATCAGTATCCAGCTTTGGAGCATCTCTCTGATTTGCTTCGGACTCCTACTCAAGGAGAAAGCTCACAGAAGAAAACCATGAAAGAGGTTCTTATAACAGAAACTCTATGGCTACCTAATTCAAGGTATATTCAACCAGTATTGGTTCTGGATCCTTAGGATGAGCAATGGATGCCAGACCATTGGGAAGTAAAATCTAGATATTTCCAAATACGACAATATGCAGCACCAGATGGTCGCCATAGATATGTCTATGAAGCCATGCTTACTGAAACTTCCTCTGTGGAATTTACCCACACAAAGAAATTTCTGAATTCCAAAGATAGTCTTCTTACTTATAGTAAAGCTATCTTTAAAAAGCTTTATACGCCTTCTGACTGGGGATTAAATTCTAATTTATCCAGAAAACTTACTTTCGGGCATAATTATAATTACTGGGATTATATCTCAGTATGGACATATTCGTTCTTTTATCAGAATCCGACACATAAACATACTTGGTTTTTCAAGATATGTCCTCAATCTTTTAAGGTTGATTTCCCAAATTTGGCTATTCCTTGGTGGGCTATATTTGGTTCAGATCTGGATATTTTACTAGAAACAGTGAGGCACTTATTCTTCCCATGGCAGCAGTTCCATCCTCAGCTCAGAGGACAGGGTAATATTTCTGCAGGAAAATCCTCCCTCTTATTCTTTACAGAATTTGGAATCCCTTGGATTTGGAGATGGGATTTCCAATGCAGTTATAATTCTGATAAGCTGCCCATCTTGCAAAGGATTTTTTATTACAGATGGTGGGCTAGCATGTCTCAAGAGCCATCTATTACAGCTCTCTTGACCCTTATTAAACAGAAAACCGTGGAGTATCAGGATGTTATTCCTAAACTGACATTGACTCAGTTTCCAGATGCCACTGATATCTTTAATCCTTTGAATTGATTAAAGATATGATCAGAAAATAGCAGCCATTAATTACTGAAACAGATTTAATGGTTAAATGCATGGATTTCATGAAGACTAAATTTGTCAATACATTTGGTTCTTCTACTTCCACAGTTTCGGATGACATATCCATGGTATCAGTATCCAGCCAAGATGGTAATCAATACTCCTGTCTAGCTAGCGAAGCACAAGATCCAAATAAGGATCCTATTCAGGATGAGGACCCCTCTGCAAAAAATTATTGAGATTCTTTAACTATCCACTTGAAAGAAAAGATGAAGGCTCCCAAACAGTAGAGATTCTCTCTTATCCTGCTGACAGAAGATGACAAAGCACTTTCCCCAAAAGTCTTTGTTTCTACAGTACTCTTTCTTGTCAAAAGTTGATCATTACTATCCGATAAGGAGACAGAAAGTAGTGGCGGGCCATCCGACTGCATTATTCCAACACACGTCTTCCAGCCATTATGTGGACTTCATATTGAATTGTCAAGTCCAATTTTATGTATAAATAGAGGGCAATGTTTCCCCTCAATGCATCTTTCAGTTTTCCTTTCTCTTTCTTTTGTAATATTTCTCAATGTACTTTATTTTGAAGTTCAATAAAGAAGAAAGTTTTCTATAAGTGTTTCAAAGTTATTTATTGTTTTCAAAGTTATTTAATAGTTATCTTATTCTGAACTGTACTTACTGTTCAATACGATCCTCTCTCTTTTTGATATCAGAGCCATTATATTGGCTTAAACTTATATTGTTAATGCTTTTAAGTTTCTGGTAAGATGATTCTTATGATAATAATGTAAAGAATATTGAGATTACTAATCTGTTTAAATCCTGCTTATCAGTAGATTCTATTATGGGTCGTCCAAAAGTCGCGTTGGAATTTTAGACCAATTTTGCATTAAATTGCTCCAAAGGTCGTTGTTTCCAGTAAACCGTTGACAAACGAGTAATATGGCATCTCTTACGCAGCACGACGACAGAATAGTACCTTACTGTTCATTACATAATATTATAATGATTATTCTATACAGATCTTAAGCATTAGCAATCTTCAACAATCATGTTAGACCCATCTTCTAGTATGGTAGAACAGGATTCACAGGATTCTGAATTTATCAAGAATTCAGAGTTAATTGAATTTACTGATGTTCAGAATAAATTGAACAAGTGGACTATTCCACCAGTAAATGCAAGCAGCATTTACAAAATCGGGATGCTCAATATCGCTGATTTATGGGCAGTTAAAACCATGGAGCAGACGATGCAATTGAGCAACAAGGACACAATAATTAAATTATTGTCTCCTCGTGATCTTTAGAGATACATGAAGAAATACAAGTATATCCATATAGGTTTAATTTAGATTGTTTTTAAACCTTTAGCCTTACTTGGAATGGATGCTTGTATTCAAGCAACACTTAGGGATGCTAGGTGTTTAGATTTTCACCCTTCTTTGATGGGTGCACTGGAAACCAGTCTATGTCATGGACTGGTTTACTTTGATGTATATCCTAGTCTCAATCTATCTTTGACAAATAGAAACATATACGATGCAGCTAGTCTTCGTGTACAGACTCATGGGTATAATTTCTTACCTGGATCAGAGGTGATGAGTGTAATTTATCGCATCCATTATAAGGTACTTGATACCTATTGTTCGAAAGTCATTCGCAAAGACTCTAAAGGAGTAGCAGCGATTTGGGATACAAACATGTTCATTTCAAATATTGCCACAAAAAAGATGATTTCTTGGAGTGAAATAACATTCCTTGACCATTGGACAATTCCTAATGCAGTTCCTGCAAAACCTATTCTCAATAGGAATTTGGACTGTGTTATCCAGGATAATGATGGTGATGTTCTTCTTAATTTTAGAAGATCTTTAGATCTACCCAGATCTACATCATCTAGAGGAATTAATATTCCTTATAAGGTTTCCTACCCTCCTTCTCGCAACTCTGTTTCAGGAATGTCTAAGGACAAAAATGAATTCACAGAGGCTGATAGACTCAAGCTGAAGGGAATTCAGCAATCACAGAATAAAATTCCACAAGCTGTTTATGAACCAGCACCAAAGAATCCATCACGTCGAGAATTTGGAATAGACTTCACTCCCACACCATCAGAATTAGGTGTTGAAGACAAGACTGAAGACAAAAGTGATGAAAGAGAAGAATATTAGTTTTAATGGATTTTACACTTGATAGAAAAGTCATTAATGCTGAATTTTAACAGGAAAAATATCAAGAGTTTAGAAATTGGTATTTTAAAACTTTTGATACAGAAAAATTATAGTTTTATAAAACACAGTTTTATGAATATCTTCAAGAACAACAAATGGTTATACCTTTTGTTTCTTGGTTTTGTCTGACACATCATTCCATTATGAATTTAAATATTTTGGATGATTTTCTAAAAACATGGACCACTAAAACTGATAAAGTTATTCACTCAGTCCATCCTTCAACTGAAACTCTAATTTTGAGAAAATCAGATGAGGATACCGGTGCAAAAATAGAAACCAAGGCTTATAGCCAACCATCTTTTATTGACAAAGCCAGTGCTGTTGTTAAAGAAGATATTTACAAAGTATATCGACAGAATAATTATACTAATGTCTGTATGCAAATGATAGGGTCCCAATTGGGAAGAATTGAGACAGGTGTTGATACGGTATTAAATATTCTTAATACTAAGACCATCTCTGTCCAACCTTCCTTAGAAGCTCCCTTATCAAAGGCTCTTGTTCAACCTGCTATTGAGGTTTCAGGTTTCAAGTTGTCTAATCAGAAAAAGAATGAAGAATTTCTTCAACTCCTTACTTAGAAAATACAAGGATTAAAAATCCAAACTTTGTCCCATACTGAATCTGACACTGTCTCTGAAAATGAATTCTCTCCTCATATTGAGGATTTTCAAGCTGCTTTTTCAACTATGCCTAATCTTAACAGAATTGTCTATGATAAAAATATCCACTCAAATACAGCCCCTGCTCCGAGTAGATATTACTATCCTAGACCAACCCATCAAGATATCTTGTATG